GAGATATCTTTGTTTAAAATTTTAATTTAAGTGCCAAAATTGCATATATATGCAGATCGGCAAATTTGATTGGCCCATGGCCCTAGATCACATGACAGGTGAAAATCACCCGGGTGAAAATAGAATTTCCCATATATTGCTATTATCATATTTATTTGGTTACACTACCAACCAACTTACCAACTAATCAACTAACCAACTAATTAATTAAATTGGTTGTGTAATATATGTAACTGGTTAGTTACAACTATAGTTGGCAACTAACTAGTTGGTAAAATTCTAATCAATTTGAAACACTATCAATTGGCAACAACTAATCAATTAGTCAGCTAATTGATTAAGATTAGTTGATTAATCAATTAATTGCAACTAATTGATTAATTGATTGGTCAACTAATTGATTAATTGATTGGTCAACTAATCAATTAGTTAACTAATCGATTAATCGATTAAGATAGTTTTGAAAATAAAATCAATTAGTTGTCAACTTGTTTATATATAGGCTGATTTACAGAATTGCCAATAACTTTTGATATACTGATCCATTTTGAATAATTTTATTACCAAAATGTTGGTTTTGATGAGGCGATTCTAATGAATCCAAAATCGCCAAAATCCAATCACAGAGTCCCAAGATAATTAAAATCTTGTATGATTTTACTATTAATCTTTATTATGTAAACAGTCATTTAATGAATTGGTTTTATATATGGGGCGTCACAGCAAAACATGGCTTTGGGACGATTATATGATTGTGAGAAAATCAAATTTAAAAATCATGTGATGATCATCAATTTTTATTGTTAAAATTAATAAGATCGTGAATTTGACGTTAAAGCCTACTAATAAAAAATAACTCAAATTTAATTAAAAGATTGCTGTATGTGTAAAATAATACTGTGAATATAGTTTATTAGTAAGTAAAAGATGAAATGTATATTAAAAATTTTTTTTTTGTGCATGGTAATTTATCGCTTAAATTTGATAGTTTTTTTAAAAAAAATTTTTTGTGCGATTGAATTTACTATAACTTTTTTTAATATACAAAAAATATATTATATAAAATGTTCGTCATAATATATTACATAAAATGTTTGTTATAATATTTTAATGTATAATAAATTAACTTTATAGTTCAATATGAATAAAAAATAAAGTTAAATTTATAATTTTTTAAATTAATTTTCTTCTGATTCATTAGCGTTAGGTTTAGAGCAAGTAATGTCATAAAAGGGTATATCAACATAGGGAGCGATTTCCTTATAAAGTTCCTCCTGTCTTTTTAATGAAAGTGGCCGAGTATTAATTATAGGAGGTAATATGGTAATGTTTTTGTACTCATCTTCAATTTTGTCTTTATAGAAGACTATCCTGGGATTTTGAGAGGTAAAATTAAAGTGGTGATATTTATTAATATCTTAAACGCATCAAAATATTTTTTAAAGTTATAATACTGAAAGCCATCTCCATTTAAATAACGCTGACTAATATTAAAACTATTTGTAGTAGAATGATTAACAATTAAAGACACATCATCTACAGTATTTACTTTACTTTTCTGATATAGAATTTTGATTAAACCAAAACAATCGTCACATATGAACTTGGTATGTCCAGGTATTATAAAATTTAGCTCAATTTCCACAGGTCGAATGTATGACTATCAGGATATGCCTATATAATCCTATTATTATACTGATATGAATATCGGGCTAATTTAAAAAGTATGATATCGGTAGAATA